TGCCTTCGTCAAAACCCCATTCATATCTGTGTTGTCTTTGAAGAAATTCACATTGATCATGTTGCTGCTGCTTTGCTGTACAGGTACTGAAGAAGGTATGTGGAGGCTACCGTATGCACCCACCACCCGGATGCAGCCGCCACCTATACACGCTGATGTCAGACTGCTGGTAAGCTCTCCAGTAATAGAACCCGTGATGACAAGGTTGGATTTCATGATGCAGCAGTGCACACTGCGTGTTTTGGTTTTCTTGTAGCTTGTGTTGACTGAAAGGCTTTGCATGCTTCGTGTGTGCTTTGAAAGTATGGCACTACTCAGCCAACTGTCAGTCAGCTGGCAGTAAGGGCAAGCTGCAACGTACAGAACAGACAACTTTTTCAATTGACAAGTTACATATGGATCTCTCCCTCGTTCAGATGCAGGCAATACAAACACGTGCACACCCATTGGATAAATTTATAGAAAAGAAATAGGATTAAGGAACTGTTACGCTTTAATGTAACTTGTAGTTCCTTGGTCCTGTTTCTTTTCCGTAAATGTATCCTTGGCCCTCCATCTGTGTCCATTCTTACACCCAATGGAGGTGAACTTTATGTGTAGACATTCCCTTACCAGCTAAACACTCTTGTTTGTGCCATTGCCTGCGATGTTCTTCAGGCATCCGGATCGCAGAAAGCGGCCGACGGCCCTGCAGGCGTACGACATGCTGATCAAGAACACTGACAGGCTGCTGCAGCTGGACAGCGCTGCACGGAGGAGACTCAATGGAGTGCCGACCGACGCATACCAGCTCGGCGCGGGTATCGAGACCAGCAAGGAACTCTACCAGGACATCACCGCCAAGTACTCGCACTTCAACCACGACATCGGCGGCATGGACTAGGCCTGTCAGTGGTGAGTAAGTCGGCAGGCAGGGCTGTGCGTCTCTCCGCGCCTGTGCAGGCTACCTGTAGTCGTTTCTGACGTACTTGAGGTACATGACATCATATCAGCATGTGATGACATCATTTTGAGGTAACATGACATCATCTTGAAGTATTACGACATCACCTTGAGGTATCATGTAATCATCTTGAGGTACATACCAGGGCACCATCGTGATGTCCACAATGCTGTCAAGGATTATAATGACAGCATTCCAGTATATCGAATGCGTGCGGAATATGTTTTACGTGCATGCGATATTCCGTTACCCTACAGTCGCTGATATCTACTGCAGCTCATCCTGCTTAGACAACTTCTTAATGAGAACAATCATTTTCGGATTATGAAATATTTTTCGTGTCCGTTCCCAAGGGAGTGGAGGTATCCGTTCCCAAGGGAACGCACGCCTGTCACTGATAAGTGGGTCATTATTCTGCTTGGTAGCAGCGGTTGAGTTCCCTTGGGAACGAATATGATTTTTACTTTTACGGCAAGTATTACCAATGATGACTGGTACGGTGAGGATGGGCATATCATTGCCTGCATCGTCCGCCCTCGAAAGTCGGGTATTGATTTCAAGATGGCCTGAGGCACCAGTTGTTCTAGTTGTGCATGTGTTGTTGCTCTGTCCGACAACAGCCTGTCCGTGCAGCGACTAAGCGAACGGTGTACGGTGAAGTAACGTTAGCTGGACCATGCATGAGATCGATCGGTAGGTGGACATTGCGTTCGTGTTGCGTTGGGTGACCAAGCGTTTTTCTGTGCAACACTGACCTGTGGTCTGCACAGCTCACATATTCAAAACACTAATGATCGAAAAGCTGCGATTAACGAATCATGTAAGGTTCCCTCAAATCAAACACTCAATCACAGTCTCTTCGCTGCAAACATCACAAAAATGGGGAACACCAAATTTTCGGACCTGGGCCGCCCATCAGCAGAGTGAAACAGTATTTTTTTTGTTGCCATGGCTGGCTATAATCGCCCTCACCTCCTCCTTGATTGGCCTTGGCCATGAGTGTGTGCGTAATAATAATAATACGAACTTAGAAGTTGCGACTTCGGCGGTAATAGTCATGAAGTTGATTGTTCCAACTAGGAACACACGCTTCTTGCCGAACTTGACACTTGACTGACTCACGACTGCCATCCGGAGCACACGAGGAGCACGTCGCACCTTCCACTCGGCAAACCTGCAAGAAAGCACCACTCCCTGCTCAATACACGGTGTTTCGGGGAATTCACCCCTCATCAGTTGAGCTTGAGTAGGCTGACGTGCGACTAGTTGTTGGAGGTGACAGCGTTGTGAATAGCTATACTGGCTCTCAACGTCTGTTTATCACAACTCCATGAGCGACTCTGACTCACGCTGCTACCTGGAGCTTCACGAGGTGTTTGTCGCGCTGGAAACAAAGCGTCTCTGTAAGTTTGTATCCCTGGTGATGGTTTGGCCTGGAGAGCAGTATATAAGTGGTGCTTTTCAGGCACAATCTTCCTCAGCCTACTCAAGCTCAACTGATGAGGGGTGAATTCCCCGAAACACCGTGTATTGAACAGGGAGTGGTGCTTTCTTGCAGGTTTGCCGAGTGGAAGGTGCGACGTGCTCCTCGTGTGCTCCGGATGGCAGTCGTGAGTCAGTCAAGTGTCAAGTTCGGCAAGAAGCGTGTGTTCCTAGTTGGAACAATCAACTTCATTAATAATAATAATAATAATAAAAGGTTTGCTCCCCACACCGGAGCTCGCGCTATTCCGCCGACTAGCGGAAATAGCGCGAGCTCCGGTGTGGGGAGCAAACCTTTTCTTACAAATCATCGCCGAAGTCGCAACCACTACTTCGTAATAATAATAATAATAATAAAATGTAAACAGTGACGAACCAGATGCCGATCGGAGTAGAATCAATGCATTCACTGTGCCTGCAAGTAAACATGTATGGTACTGTATGCTACTGTATGATACTGTATGGTTAGGTTTCATCGCCATGCCTGTAAAACGTGGATGACAACGAATGGGCTGCTGGCTTCACTGTGGCAGCGATATCTCGTGGTCATGAATGTGCCGGCAGGGGTGCATGGGTGAGAGAAGAATCCGCTCCCGTTATTAATTTTACTATTAATTATTATTCCCGTAGCTATGCAGAAGACGTTACTTCAGTAACGTCTGGGATGTTACTTCAGTAACGTCTGGCGCTAGCCAGGGTCAACACAGCTTTAATTTGGTATTTGTTTGTGTGTTTGTGTCACGCCTGGCGCTATCCGTATCTGACGGCAAAAAAGCATAGGATGTTATAATTTTTTCAATTCTCCTATTTTTTTCAGGCATATCCTGGGATTCGAACCCGCACTATCGCCCTACATGCATTCCCCCATACACTTCGCATTCATACCCATTCTTCCAAGTTGCTTCACGTTATTATCTTGCGTTTGAAAGCCCTATTTGAATATTGCGGGCAGCTGTATGTGGCCAGCTGTGTTTGATGGTACGGTACGGTACGGGAGACGGTGTCGTATTACCCTCGATCGTACGTGTCCCGTACCTATCCCCTACCATACCGTGCCATCAAAGACGGCTGGCCACAATGCATATTCAAATAGGGCTTTCAAATGCAAGATCACAATGTGAAACAACTTGGAAGAATGGGTATGAATGCGAAGTGTATGGGGGAATGCATGTAGGGCGATGGTGCGGGTTCGAATCCCAGGATATGCCTGAAAAAATAGAAGAATTGAAAAATTTATAACATCCTATGCTTTTTTTGCTGGTAGATACGGATAGTGCCAGGCGTGACACAAACAAACAAATGTATGCGAAGTGTATCGGGGGATGCATGCAGGGCGCGCGATAGTGCGGGTTCGAATCCCAGGTTATGTCTTAAAAAAAAGAGGATTTTTTAAAAGAATTTATAACATCCCTATGCTTTTTTTTGTCTAGGTCATTAAGGCAAAAAAAGCATAGCGTAGGGCCCTGAGCTTCCAAGCTCTCTTGTTATGAAAAAGACCCAAACTGCAAAGGCAACATGCCTATCGAGGGGTTCATTTGATCGGAAGAACACTTATAAAAGCAAACGTGTTGCACTCTGGCAGCCGATCCACATAAGTCTGGTGCCGTAAAAAACCTCCCACCGCTTTTGGAGCTGCATCTCGCCCCTTTCATCCTTAAAGGTGGCGGCATTCCTACGGATGGGGAAGGCTCGGTATAAGTGAGTACAACGTCAACTATGAAATTTCAGCATACATGTGCATTTACGAGTACCGTAGTGATGCGCATTTAAGCGCATGTGCCTATATCCAGGCATAAGCGCACCCTCACAAATAAGCGCATGTGCTTGTAAGTGAACCTACATTGTACGTGCAGTCCATCCCGGGCCGCAACACACGGACACCACGAAAACATAATGTTGACATAGTTCAATGTGCATTGCGGTATCGCACTATTTGCATAATAATATAAGGTACCACCGGTACACTAGCAAATCAAGCGCATGCGCCTATGTGTGAGACAAAACGACCCGCAAAAATCGCCAATAACAACTCAGTCATAAGCGCATGGGCCTTTATGTGCGCCTCGTCACAACGGTAGGTGTGTAGGTAATGATATATTTATGGGTATTTGTGGGAGGCAATTGTCGTTGTTATAACTGTGTACAGGCGTGTGCGACAAGCAGTGGCACTGGGATGACATTGCACTCAGACTCAGACTCACACATGCCCATCACACACACACACACACACACACACACACACACACACACACACACACACACGCACGCACGCATCGAGCATATTCACACAGCTACAAGTAAGAGCTGCAGATGTTAATATATCTACATGAATTCAGATGACAACGGCGGGTTAATAGGGTGAATAATACGGCTGAGGAGAGTATTGTGCAGTGTGAAAAGATCAAGAGTATTGTGATCCGATGGATAAGAATAGTTGAGTAATCGGTAATGGAAGCTTACAATATTTGCCATAATTACGAGTAACCGAATGTTTGGAGATTATAATAATATTATAGGTGCAATAGGTGTATACGTATAGAGAGAGAGAGACCTGCTCGGTTGAGGTCCCGGTCTTGGACGAGGAATTTCTCACGCAGTAAGAACTAGTTTTGATAATAATAATTTCGGGTGCAGACCTGACCGAGCATGCAAATGTATCTGTGTGGACATCGCGGCATGCCTGTGGGCATGTTTGCGAGATAAAATCGGGAAAAAAATTAAGACTAGAATAAGCAACGAAGATGCGCATACGTGCGAAGGAATCGTGGAAAACAAACATAAGAACACACGCGCACACGCTCACATACACGCGCACGCACACACACACATGCATAGAATCATGCCGACACACATCACACAGATGAGGACTTGATTATAAAGAGCAGCGCCGTTGGAGGGGATAGGGGGATGGGGCATGGGTAGGGGGGGGGGGGGGGAGGACGCTCTATAAATAAGAATACAAGATCAGAAAGTACAACGTAAGACGGAGCACGATGCTAAAAAACAGGTAGGAAATAAGAGATGGACCTAGTAGCTGTATCGGCATTGAGACGTGTGCCCTGCTATGCGGGCAGTTCGACGTGTTTTGTTTTGTTGGTGGAGTGCGCAGTGTAACTGTGACGATGGAGAGCGGCGGCGGCTACCGGGAGACGATCACTGGCGAGCAGCGACTGTAGCAACGACGACGTCCTAGTACCTAAGTGGGTGGCAGTAGGGCTGGAAGCAGCACGGTGGATAGGTGGCGGTGGCAACAGGGTAGCAACATTGCCACGACGACGACGACGACAGCAATGCTGATAATGGTGACGTCGTGGCAACTATGGACCATGCACGAGCTAGTGTGACGGCCTGTAGTTAGCCAGGGCTTCGCTGCTGCTGCTGGTGTCGTTGCTGACACGTGCTTGATAGTGGAGGGCTGGGGAAGGGAGGGGAGGGGAGCGGAGTTGTACTTAGTCTTCTTGTTTACTTCGTGGGCCTCAGGTCGCGGGCGGCCGTTGCTGCATGTTGCTGCTGCAGATGCTGCTGCTGTTGCTGCTGTTGCCACTGCTGCTGCTGCTGATGCTGCGGCGGCATGCAGATGTAGTGCACGTTTGCTGGCGGCTGATAGGTCTGGTACACTGGAATGCCGTTGGGCATGGTGGCTGCTTTCAACATGGGGGGACCAGTGGGTGTGCCTGTGGTTACGCCTGGCGGAACGGACCCACTAGCAACAAGGCTGTAACCGGGCGGGATGTAGAGTGGTAGTGCCGAAGGGCTACCGGCCGCAGTCTGGCCAACCGCCGATGGCATCTGTTGAACAATGGTACCTGTGGTTCGCAGTCCACCATACTGCGACATGTGCTGCTGCTGTTGCTGCTGCTGCTTTTGTTGCTGCTGCTGGTGTTGCTGTTGCTGCTGCTGTTGTTGTTGCTGCTGTTGCCGCTGCTGCTGCAACTGCTGCTGCTGGACAAGAGCTTGCTGCTGCTGCTGCTTTTGCGGCTGCAGTGACTTGTTGTGCTGCGGTGGCTGTTCCTGTTGCTGGTGTTGAGTTGGCTGAGCTGTCAGGTGTGTGGTCACGACCGACTGGCTAACTGATTGACCGATAGGTGGGCTGTTGCCTCTCTCGTTGGCCTTGTGCAGGATGGCCTGGTAAAAGTAACAGGAACGAAAGAACAGAAAAAGACCAATTAACTAACTGTCGTCACAGCTGGAGACGAGTACTATTGGGGCCTCCAGGACACCAGCCAACACGCTACTCATATCTGCAGTAGTGCAGGGGCCCTTTTCAAACCAAAATTCACCAGTGGTGACACTCGTATTTTTGGGGGAAAGGGAGCTGTTGCTGCGAAAAGATATTCACTACGCTTGCAGCGACTGCTTGTGTCACAGCTGCCTACTTCACTGGGGGCTACGTGTTGGTTGGAGTCGATTACCTTTGGTATTGCTTGCCGCGTACAAACAGTATTCCTTCATTCATCGATGCATTCATTCCTACTTTATTCGAAAGGTATACCAGCAGAAATAGAACATGGATATGCATGTCTTTATCACTGCTGCTAACAGGGTCTTCAGTATCAAACTGACGCAGCACTGAACACACCCAATCGCCAGATGTGTAGACTTTGAACTCTGGCAGACACAAAGTTTCACCCAAATCAGCAAATTTCGTTTTGTCTTCAAGAAAAAAATCCTTTTACAATCACCAAAGGCTTGCTTCTGTCACCTTTGTATGTGCAGGATAGCTTGAAGCAGCATTCATTCAAAGGCACACTAAACCTCTGGGTTCCGCTCGCTCTGCTTACCCGAAGTTGTATCTCACGGCTGGTAGCGTGTGGCGATGATGGTCCACTCTTGATTGGTGTGGTTGCACTGTCGCTCTCCGCTGTCAGGTAACCATGATCGACTGTCGACGATGAGTCGTCTCTATCGCAGTCCGACTCAACAAAGTAGAACTGCAAGAGGATAGGAAAGTGGAGAAGCATGCATGCACGTACGCACACGCGTGTACCAGCACACACACATACACATGCAACACACACACACACACAAACACACAGATAATTATTATATTTTTATATACACAAAGGCACACAATGAAAACCTTGGCAAATTTATTCCGTTGTGACTCCGAGTTTCATGGCTGAACCAATCATCAGACAACGATCGTTGTCTGATGATTGGTTCAGCCATGAAACTATTGCCTCTATATTTTTATATATTCACAATCATGGCCAGTCGGTGAAGCTTGAATGGAGTGCTTAATACATGCACATCAGAGGTACAAGCTGCATGGTGATCACTTTTAGAGTACTCAAAAGGTATCCACATTACAACTGGCTTTACACTATTGTGTTGAGAAACACAACCTGGGGAAGTCGCTTGTGCCAGGCCACCACCATGCCTGTGATACCAAGATGGCAGCACTGACGATTGCACAAAGAACGGAACTCGAGTAGTGATGAATCTTCTTCCACTGGATCCTGGGTGAGGGGAAAGTTTAGATGTTTGCGGACCTCTCAGCACTCGCATCGAGCACTCTGACCCGTCTTCAAAGATATCCTAAGATATGATGCCTCTAGATCCGAAAAGGGGGCTTATGTCTCTTACCTCACCTGAAAATTCACTGACTAAGGGGCCATCCGTAATTATCGATCTTTTTCACGAAACGAAAAAGTTTCGTTTATGGGTGGGTGGGTATTGACTGGTTTCGTTTTGAAAAAACATCGAAAGCGGAAAAATCAACGCGCACTGCATGCATTGATGCATGCATACATACTCAACTCATTGTGTACTTCGAAATCTCAGGCACTCTGTACTCAGTGCAGTCGTGAGTTTCTTTCGTGCTCAGATGTCTTCTCCGACGAGGCCCTAGCAGTCATTCGCTCTGGGCCCATGGGACCGACGACAGATATATTATAAATACTTCGTTCCAGCCGCCGATGCAAGAGAATTTCAAATTACGGAGCGGGGCGCACGCCAAGTAAATTCTCACGCAAATATGGGGAGCGCCAGCCGCTGAAGACGATGTCGTCGTAATGTATCTGGAAGAATCTGATCGTGCTTATGGTGGGAAAGCCATGGAGAGTGATCCCCGTGTCGACAGTCTTCCAGAGACGGAAACTTAGGCCATCGACTTTCTTCGTACCTGATTGCCGGCAGCGCAGCGCGGCGTGTGTGCGACCTTACGGAGCTTTCCGACAACGATTCTGGGGCGATGCTGCTCTCATTTGCGAGCGAGGCACGACCACTGAAGTCTGTGATAGCTATGGCGTTTGTTTCCGCTCCGAAGTCGACTTGTTTTGGCAGTATGATATCATGTCAATGTCGGAACTCTGACGATTTGCATGTGTACTATTCCCGTGTTTAGACGTAGAGGTGCCACTTATTAAGCAGCGTATGTGTGTGGTAGGTGAAAATAAATGTTTCCATGGTCAAGAAGTAGTACCAGACTTCCAAGAAAACATAACTGACTTGCACAATCATACAAAATGTGGCCTCGCTGTGAGTTATTGGCATCATTCTAAAATGTTATGGATTTCATAATTATACAAAAGTAACTATTACTTGCCGGTAAAGGGTTAATAGTGCTTGCATGCGAAGGATAATGTGTGTGTTGTAGCAGCCAATCAAGATCATTTTCTGCACAAAGTCTCAAGTCAATTAATTTTTTCGTTTCATGGGGGTGGGTGGGTGGGGGTGGGCCATAACTAAACTTTTTCGTTTCGTGAAAAAGATCGATAATTACGGATGGCCCCTAACGTTGCTCACTGATCAAAGAATAATGCAATCTTTCCTCTGCTGTCTTAAATCCTACTCTATCTTTCCCTTGTCATGTAATCACTGTCACTCACATACAAATACCATCATAAAGTTTAAAACACAACTTTTTCTCATCTTTTTCTATTTCTTGTTTTTCATTAGCTTTAGCATGTTCATTCACATTCTTCATCATTTGTGAGAACTAGACCTGGTCTAGTGAGAAGGCATTCTACTGCCTGTAATTCTGGTGAAGTAAAATAAAGTAACAACAACAACAACAACAACAACAACAACAACAACAACAACAACAACAACAACAACAACAACAACAACAACAACAACAACAACAACAACAACAACAACAACAACAACAACAACAACAACAACAACAACAACAACAACAACAACAACAACAACAACAACAACAACAACTATATCTCGTATTGGCCACTGGCTATTGTGAGAATAAATATTTGAAACTCTATTTTCTATTAATCTTTTCCTTTTTCCTTACATTTGTGTGCCTTAAGTCGATCTCATGTAATACGGCAACACTGCCTGTTTGCTATTCGACATTAAATAAACCAATCCAATCCAATGTCGTTTCGCGCAGTATTGGGGAAATGCATTTGAAAGTTGACTTTGTGAAGGATAAGTATTTTGGACTTAGGTTTTTTACAGAGTGATCTGCTGAGGCACAGCAATGCCATGGTATAGGTAGTGGAAAATGCTCAAAAATGACATAAGCCGCTTTTTGGGATCTAGAGGCTTATATAGGAGATGGATGTTGGAAAGGAAAGCATGGGGAACTATGCCATGCTCTGCTTTGAAGCGTGGTAAGCAAATAGCAATCTGACTACTAGCATACGAGTACACAGCGGTGATCACGGGTAGAACGTCCTCTGATAGGACCTGCATCTGGCTTAGGTGCACACATTGTCTGGAGCACGGATCATGCAGCATTGATCCATATCGCAGTGTGTTGGGATGCGAAGTATCCAAATAGAGTGATTATGTATACATCTGCTGTACGTGCGTGCGTGTATGGTGTCGACAGGGTGCCTTCATAACTATTGTGACCATATACAGACCAGGCACATTACAGATGACCACATAATGGAGTGCCCATGTATGGAGGTCTGTGGCCAAGTTGACATTATATAGAGCAATGATCACATATGGGGGATAACTGGGTTACTTAAGGTAGCTGGAAACTGAATCAGATTTTCACATTGGCACGAAATCTTGGGATGTTAAGTATGCAGTGTCTTCAGTGTGCCATGCGCAGAGATGAAATAGCCAAAAAAAAGTAGCTGGTCACCATCAATTTTATGGAGTAATGAGCACCCAAAATTGGATATTAAAATGCCCCCCAATGAGAGACTGGCCAGAAATATTTTGCTTATTTTTAGAAATCAACTTTACCAAGTGTCAGATACTAGCAAAACCAAGAAAAAGTGACTGTTCACCACAAAAAGTTCTTTTGATTTCCTTTCCAGCTACCTTAAGTGACACACAACATGTTCTATTCCCGGTCGTGGGTCGGTATTTGGTTAGTTGAGTGTACATATGAATTCGTCCATAGATAAACACACCCAGCCTAGTTCAAACACGGTACGCCTGCTCACCTTGTTGCTACCAGAGGATGGTCTGGTTCGACGGCAAGGCTGCTGCTGCTTCATGTCCGAGGCCTTTGTCAGCACTCCCTTGGTGGGCGACAGCGTGACATGCTTCATGATCTTGCCGGAGTTCCATGTGATGGTGTCCTTCAGCGGTGTGGCCTGCTCCAGCTTCTGCTTTCTCACCAGTCCACCGTCGGGTGTCGTCTTGTCTTGCACATCACCGACTTCCGCTGGTGTGTCGACCTCCAGCGTTCCCTTCAGAGCCTTCTGCACCAGGTCCTGGCCTTGCCTCGACACGAGGAACTTCTGCAACTTCTTCGTCGAGTAGGAGAAGATGTTGTTCTCTATCGAAGCCAGAATCATGATTTCCGCTCCAGTCAACATGCTGAGCTCGAAGCCCTGTGGTTGAAACGAACGGACAAAAAATGAATGACGCAGCAGCAGCAGCAGCAGCAGCAACAGCAGCAGATACGGGTAGGAACACAACATAACACAAAACACAAAAAGATATCATTAGACAGATGGTAACACGTACAACTGATATACTGTGCCTGGTATATCTACAGTAATTCTGCAGGTGGAGTCCAGTTTGCTTTAGGCAAGATTGAATGCACCCTACAACACAGACCATACACACGCAGACTAAACTAACGCAGCCACTCCGGCCATCGAACCGTCGAGCCACACCGCATTTACTGTCTCAAAATAGTTTCAAGCGGTACCGGACGCGATCAAAGAGACGCTGGTAATGGGTTCAAGAAGGATAATATTATCCAATATTCTACTGCGATAATTATCTTCACAGTGCAATCTCAAATCTAGTACACAAACTGAACTTCTCGTAAAAAACAAGGGATGCGATGCGATTGAGAGTGCGAGTACACCGTGAAGGGACGATGGCGAGGAGAGCGATTGATGTCTCGAGCATTCGCGAAACAACCAGACAGGGGAACTGGTACGAAATATTCAATCAAATTATCCCGTGGAACAATGTACGGAACCGTACGGATTGCGGATTCATTGATAAATGAGCAAGTACATTGCCAACAAGAACCGAAGTGCTGTCCCAAACCAAGCAAACTATACCACAAGCATAACACGAGTAAAGGCTCACGAAAGAAAATGGGAAGGAAACTGGAAAACGAACTAACCTTCTTCATCAAACCACTTTTGCGTTTGTGAAACGTCGCGTTCCGCTTTTGCCGTTGCTCGATGAGCTTCAGACCAATCTTGCCACGGCCTCGCCGCTTGTTGCTCGTGCTCACAGTAGTCTCCTCGGTATTGTCCACATCCAGCTCAACTTCATCGTCTTCCTGATCATGGCTTACATGGTTATCATCAGGCGAGGAGGAGATCGGCGAACTCGAACCAGAGCTGCAACGGCAAGCCAAGTCGCTGATGATCAATCCAGGACTGATCGGAGTGTCTCGGCCGGTCGAAAGGAAACCCGCCATCATGTAAGATTGAGTTGACAGCAGAGAGTTCGCTTGAAAACCGCCTCCGCAAAGGAAACTCTGTTCTGCCAAGAATCGCGGAAAACACCGCAGTTATTCCCGAGCTCGGGGGCCTCGACTCTTCTTCGGAATGAAAATGGCGATCGTTTTCGCACTCGGTTCGTGCTCAGGTGCCTTTCACAAACCTGGTTCATCCATAAGGGCCATACGTGGACAATACATCCATGCACTGCCTGCAGTATGGAGGAGGACCACTCCCTATCACCGCCTTTTGGAGCGACCATCGTTCGACCTTTGCCTCCGTGTTTGCTCCGCTCACAACGTCAACTGAAACTGTCGATCAGCTCCTTCTTTTTGGCACACAAAGGTTCAGTGCCGGCTGTATCGTCCTGGCTTGGTTTTCGTATTTGGACAGAGGTTCAAGTAGGTTCACGGACGTGCGCGCCGCATCGCAACTCCAGTGGGCCCGCAACGCACATATTGTGGGGCGGGTAGGAGTCCTTGCAGTGCGGGTGGGACAAATCAGTCGCGTCCAAGCCTTTCAACGAAGCGTTATGCACGAAGACAGCCATTGAGTCAGTAGATCAGGGTCGCCATAGTACTCTTTCGTTTTGCGACTGGACTTCTGAGTAACTTGGGTTGTGGGGATTATGCCGTCAGCACGCATTTGCAGCCCAAACTGATCACATCGCGATCGACATGAGTCGAAGGAGCCAATAATAGGGGCGTCCTCCCCACACCCAGCTGTAACGACAACTCCAGATAGAGAGCAGGTGTATAGTACAAGTAGGGAATGCCGGCAAAGTAGCAGTATTATCAAATTTTTAATAGGGCAGCATGAAAGTCACGAAGTCAGTTTTGTGACGTGTCTGCTGCGCTTTGATAAAACAAATGCTGAAGGATGATACCGGTACAAGTAAAACTCGTCTACCTTTTCTTCTACGGGACAAAGCAGCGATCGGACTAAAGAATGGAACAAGCTTCCAGGTCTTCACAAGTATCATTCAGAATTATTTCACTAGCAGTTTCATAACCTTCTCTTCAGGTGGATTTCAAGCAGAAGGGGATTGCCCTATCAAAAATTTGATAATAAATAATTATTAATAATGATATTGAGAAGAAGAAACTGACCGATACAGCTCTTTTAGAGCGGATATGTGATACAAACAGCAGTGGGAAGATTAGCGAGAACAAGCATCGAAAGAGAAGTTTTGGTTCTCGCGCACATAGCAATAACCTAGCAAATCCTACAGTTCTGCACTGATGCATGGTGGAATTTGTGACCTTCCTGTGTGACATTGCCTTCATCGTGGGCTTCACCACCGTGTAGCTGGCGAAGGAAAGCATTGAGTGCATTGTATACGTAATATAATCTTAATTTCAGGATTACCCAAAGGCTGACGCCTATCAGGGAGATCTCCTATTTGTACAATGAACATTGGATTTGGGAAAAGAGAAAGTGTGCCAAATGAGTTCGAACAGTCTTGGACAAGCACGTACAGTCATAAAAAAAATAAAAAAATTCACGGTTCGCGTGAGACTCGGCTGGAAGCCGGGTTTTCCGCATCCGTAGGAACGTACAGTCATGCACATGTTATAATGTTCACGCACTCGTGATAGTAGCTTGCAGTCTACAGGCGTGATACATGTAATAGTCTGAAACCTCCAGTGCAGTTGTTGTTGTTGTTGTTGTTTTTTATTTGAATTCGCAATACCAAACGGGGAATAAGCCCAATTACATGGAAGCGAATAAAAGAATGCTAAGAATGAGGCATTGGGGTGGATATTATTTCAAGTGGAAAATACTGATCCCGGGAGGTACTACAAATAGTGTGCACACTGTGTGTGCAATAACGACCACACAACGCGCTAGAGTTGCCCCAGACATTGTGTCTGTCGTGGTCTCCTCTTGTATTGTATTGTATTGTATTGTATTGTATTTATTTAAAAGGATTCTCCAAAAGCAAATGGATGCTTATCACGGAAGTCTCCCACATAAATATCGCAAGAAAAATGGGGAAATGGGGAGAGGAGAGTGGAAGATGAAGCATGGAAAGAAGGGAAACAAGTACCTAAAATTTAGTATCGAGGTATAAAAGCAGGAAAGAAAAATCTTCGCGTACCTGCCAGTTGGTTGAACACTTTTTGTGGCAAGCTTTGCAAGGCAAGGGCCCGGCAGCTACAAAGCAACTACATAATTATACTAAGAAAAACTAGTAACCAATTTGGGTTTTTTTTGCTACGAAGTCGGAGGAAAATGTTGAACAGTTTCTGCTGGGATGACGACTACACCATAGCTCAGTGGTTTCAGCATCGCTTGCCTCAAGCAAGGGTCCCTGGTACGAGTCCTGGTGGTGATAGTCACTAGTGAGGTTTTGTACTATTTTCTTCAGACTCTTCCCGTTCGCGTCTTCCCCTCAAACCAGTGAACAATAATATGCTTCGTGTAGAATTGCCCCTTACATGCAGCTAGCTAGCAGCCTAGCACTGTAAACACCTCTTTGGAGGCTCTCAAGATATCCCACTGCCTTCGCCTCTTCCACCCGATTCTGACTTGGGCCAGCACGTGGGCGGTTGAGGACGACACTACCTGAATATGGATGCATGGTGTGATTACTGGCACCATATGCAGGTGCCACAGAATTCAGAAAGACACTGTACAAATGAATCAAAGAGCCATGAATTCATGAAGTCAAAACTTGATATCAGTAGGCCAACTACCCTACGTGTGTGAGTTTCTGCAATCGACTAGTTGCCATTTAGACGGTCCTAGAGCAAAATCACCAGGGCTACAAAGGGGACGCTCGGCTTACCAATTATTACATGTATGGCGGCTTCGGCACCCAAATGTAGTGTTTTCCTTCCCAATATGTTGGAAAGGATGCGCCCGTGGCGTGTGTATTGTGACACTTGCAATTGCATGCAAGTACGGTGAAGAGGTGAACAACCCCCCCCCCCCTCCCTACAGATAGGCAGTTTAGCATTGGGGACATCCTAATTAATACAGGTGACTATCACCATCATTTTCGTGAAATGAAAATAATTATTAGAGACAGCATGAACCCAGTAGTCCCCCGTCGAAAGGCAAAAGTTTGAGGGAATGAAATTTAAATCCAAAATATAATCGTATCGAAGAACGAACCGTGTCAAGTTCCACCGAACATGCACCACTCAATGCGCTCATGCGCTGCGCATGATTCTCCCAAGTTCTACAAAATAGCATTTCGGAAGTAATGCAACTTCAAGTGCCCACATACATGTCTAAAATGCCGGTAACTCCGCAATTTGATCCGGTGTGGTAGAGAGAGCCGTAACCTGTATACATTAGCTGCTCTCGAGACGGCAATATGGGGAGCAAGGAAGCTTGTCACACTACGGGTACTTGACCAGGAGCCTTTCCGTAAACTCACGAAGCAACTGTGGATGCCTGCGCTAGCTCGAATGACCGCAGGGCATCGATAGGCATCTCGGCGGTTCGACGGATCGTCCAGGGTGCAAGACGTTGGAGCCGCGCAGATGGCCAAGGGTGACTGGATCTGGTGCACTGGTCGCAGCCATAACGACTGATAATATGATGATAATGGGGTAAATGTTGTGTCCATGAACTTAAATATACAGGTACCAGCAATGTCGTCCTGGGTTTAGGCGCGCAGGCCTTAGCATGCTTTTGGTTCATGACCTTGAGGTGACTGACGTGTGGCGGTGGTGTCTTTGTGGCAGTGGGAGCTCCTGGTGCTGAGTCCACCTTTATCACAAGCATTAAGCAGCTCCTCGCCAGGCAGTGTTACGACTCCCTGTTCCCCCATAATGCCGTTCCGACTACACTTTTTAGCACGTGAATGGCGTCAATAGGTTGCCTAGATTTCTAAATATGGACCCGTGCGTACTGACTAGCAATTCGGCTTGAGTCATTCCTCATTTCTCTCTTGTGCCTTCTTCACTCCACTGGAAGACCACTCCATAGTTCGAACAGTTTTATACATGATGTGCACAGTTGCCTGCAGTGATGATTGCGAAAGCATGAAACTATAAGTAGCAAAAAACAAGCCTTGATTGTCCTTGTTGGTCTGTACATATATGCACATTGTACTTTTTTTTAAGTATGAGTGAGAGACTGAGAGTCAATTCAGGCACATTTGTATTTGGTCATTTTGGAGGTTTGTATTTACCGTTATGGATTCTCCACATGCCTAAGCCTAAATCAAGGGATTCTACACATGCCTGCACAATCTGAATCATCGCGACATTAGATTGGCCCTGCCGCAACTCGTGGCTGATAAAGACCTGTGATAAAACCGGGGCTTCCTCGCTTGTAGGTTGTTTTAGCCAAAAATCTTCGGTCTCAAGTTAACCTTTGTTGTTCTACATGACAGCTGGGAACGACTTCGAATGCTGTTGTTGTTGTTGTTGTTGTTGTTGTTGTTGTTGTTGTTGTTGTTGTTGTTGTTGTTGTTGTTGTTGTTGCTGTTGCTGTTGCTGTTGCTGTTGCTGTTGCTGTTGCTGTTGCTGTTGCTGTTGCTGTTGCTGTTGCTGTTGCTGTTGCTGTTGCTGTTGCTGTTGCTGTTGCTGTTGCTGTTGCTGTTGCTGTTGCTGTTGCTGTTGCTGTTGCTGTTGCTGTTGCTGTTGCTGTTGCTGTTGCTGTTGCTGTTGCTGTTGCTGTTGCTGTTGCTGTTGCTGTTGCTGTTGCTGTTGCTGTTGCTGTTGCTGTTGCTGTTGCTGTTGCTGTTGCTGTTGCTGTTGCTGTTGCTGTTGCTGTTGCTGTTGCTGTTGCTGTTGCTGTTGCTGTTGCTGTTGCTGTTGCTGTTGCTGTTGCTGTTGCTGTTGCTGTTGCTGTTGCTGTTGCTGTTGCTGTTGCTGCTGCTGCTGCTGCTGCTGCTGCTGTTGTTGCTGCTGCTGCTGCTGCTGCTGCTGCTGTTGCTGTTGCTGTTGCTGCTGTTGTTGTTGTTGTTGTTGTTGTTGTTGTTGTTGTTGCTGTTGCTGTTGCTGTTGCTGTTGCTGTTGCTGCTGCTGCTGCTGCTGCTGCTGTTGCTGTTGCTGTTGCTGTTGCTGTTGCTGTTGCTGTTGCTGTTGCTGTTGCTGTTGCTGTTGCTGTTGCTGTTGCTGTTGCTGTTGCTGTTGCTGTTGCTGTTGCTGTTGCTGTTGCTGTTGCTGTTGCTGTTGCTGTTGCTGTTGCTGTTGCTGTTGCTGTTGCTGTTGCTGTTGCTGTTGCTGTTGTTGTTGTTGTTGTTGTTGTTGTTGTTGTTGTTGTTGTTTCAAATCTC